TTTTTTGATCTTTCATACAACCAAGACATAAATTGATTCAACAGGCCCACAAACGGTGCAATCTAGAGCAAAACAACACCAAGTTGAACCAACGGTCGCTACGTTTATGGCTTTATTTAAGAAACATCGGGCGAAAATTTCAACTGCTCCTGTAACACTACCTTATATAAGTTGGCCTTGCTATCATCCTCACATATGTTCATCAGAGTATACCAACGAAGGACGAGTTAATACAATTACAGGCACAATGACAAACATGAACAAATTTACAACAAACAATTTTCGACAATCAGTACAGTTCGCATTTATATCAACGAGCAACTTATTATTAGTCTATTCCAATAGCAGTCCGGTTTACAGGATTTAGTCAGAAATTACAGGAAGTCGTTCCTATTGACATAAAACCTGTAAGTGGGAACACATTTGAAAGAGTAACTGAGCAACTGTTCCTTGTCAGAAGTTACAGGATTTAGTCCGGAGTTTCTTTTCCTGTTAGTTCATGAAAAGTGTCAAACGATCAGCTGATTTGCATGTGCAAGTAAAAACAAACAGCGGTGAAAGCAAAGTACCTTATATTTGTAAAAAAAATGGAAGGAAACAGTGAAATGTTTGAATATGTATAGATTTTAATAATTATTTAGTGATATTTCAGCTAAATCAGTGTTGTGCAAATGACATGTAAACAAACCGACTGACGTTTTTACAGGAAATAGTGCTTTTTGCGTTCCTATGCACTTCTGCATCTGTTCTCCTTTTACTCTCATTTGAGAGAGTAAAATTGTAGTTTGACAGTTCCACAGGTTTTAGTCCGAAGTTCAAAGGAACAGACTATATATTTGTTTTCGTTTGTACTACATATGTGCATATATCCATGTACACAAACATATTTACATACATGAAAACATTGCTGTCCATAAGTACATACATATGCCCATCAGTACATAAAGAAGCCCGTTTGGTTCATCATAAATATATCCATACAAACATATGTACATATGTACGAATGGATGTAGTTACGCGAAGCACGCTTGCATCATTTATACATATATTGCTTGGTAGCGACATAGCTGAAATTGCGCAATGAGTTCGTTCATACATACATATATATGTATACATATATATACACGGTGGAGAGAATACAGAGGTGGCGCCGATGACGATACCGCTACTCGGCTCTCAGTGATTTTGACAGAATCAGCTGTTTTGGTGACGTCATAGTAGAGAAGACAGCAGTAGTGATGTGCTGAGTCAATACTTTTAAGTACCCAATACTCTCGATACTCGGTACCAGAACATTTAGGTTTCGAATAAAAGCGCACATAGGCCAAAAATATGGTAAAAACGCCTAACCAAACCCGAATGTAAGAGCCAATAGAGCTTTTTTACTGATTCAAATGAAAGATGTATATATGTCGGTTCGATGCCATAATACAGAGAAACCCTTACTTGTTTGAAGCATTTTTGTTCCAGCTGAATCGGACGATATCATTTTTGTAGGCCTGGGACAGATTCTGTAACCAGTTAACGACAATTTTCGAATCGGTATCGGTTTTGTCGACGTTTGATATCAAATATTTGTAAGTCAACAAGTGCGGTATCGATCCGAAACTTGTCGCTAACTGGCTACAGAATCTCTTCCCTGAAAGGCTTCTTCATCCGTCAAAGTGTTTTTCTTGAACCTTGGACCGACTAAGGTTAAAACTGATAAAATAATATTTTTCTGTGGCGATAAGTTCAAGTGTTTTAGCCGATATCATATAAATTAGTAATGAAAGTTGTTTCTAAACCTGAAATGCATATAATGGCGAGGGTTTAATGTAAATAATCGGTATCGGATACCGAAAAGGAAGTATAGGGTACCGAAATCTTTTTTAAGTATTGGGTACCGAGTATTGGGGACAATTCAGCACATCACTAGTCGCCCTCATTCTCGCCGCTCTCAGTGGTCAACTCTACGATGACGTCACGCTAAAATTACTCTCACGAGCTCTGCTGCAATCGGCGCTATCTTGTATTCTATCATTCTTGATATATATATGCCCAGTAGAACTTGGCAGCATCGTACGATTGCTCGGTGAGTACTCCCTGGGGAGTATACGAATACTCCCCATTACTCCCTTTGTCTCTGTGTATAAGCATGTAATTTTGTATACTCCCTTTAACATTGTATGTCCTAGGAAGGGAAGTAATCCCTTTTACCTCCTAAAGGAGCAACACGGGAGTACTCCCATAAAAACCTCCCCTATACCTCCCAAAAAGACAACAAGGGAGTGCGCATAGAAAAACATCCTATATTCCTCCCGAAGGAGCAATAAGTGAGTACTCCCATGGGAGGCATCCCGAAAGCCTCCTGTA